CCACACACACATACACACATGCAGGCACTGAGAGCTTCCTCTCCCTAGCCCGCCATGGGCTCTGGGAGTCGGTAGGAACCCTGAAGCCCACCAGGTATGGTCCTCTCTGGAAGGCAGAAGGCCTCCAGTTTCAGTGTATATGGGAATCGTTCGGAAGAAAAATGCAGATTCCTGGACCCCGGGCCTTAATGTCTTTATTTGCTAAATAGAGCCTAGAAATCTGTATTTTGCTCTCAACTGACATTTTGGAAGCACAGATCCTTGTACCTTTTCATCTATTTCAACTCAAATGCCATTTCCTCAAAAAGGCTTGTTCTTATTACCACCCACCAAAAGTGCCCCCCCCTCCCAGTCACTTTCTCTCATTATCCTCTTGCTCCCTCAGAGCACGTCACTCTTTATGATCTCCTCCTTTATTTTTTAACTCCCCCCCACTAAGATCACATAGAGCTCCAGGAGGGCGGCCACCTCCCCTCTGGACAGCTCTGCATCCGCGCCCACTGCTGTGCCTGCCATACAATAGTTTAGGACGTATTTGTTGAGTGAACAAGCTCAGGCCCGATTCTTAAACAAGGGCAGGATTGGGAGCTGCCATGCCATCCCTGTCATGACGAGGATTTTAGAAGCTGAGGTCATCCTGGAGGAGAGGCTCGGGAACTGTCAACAGGCTCCCCTCCTCGCTCTCCTGCAGCCTCTTCCTCAGCCCTCCCTCACACGGTTCTCCAGCACTGAGGAGTTGCAGCCTCAATGGAGTGACATGTATGAAGATGCCCCCAAGCTGAGCCCAGGGCGGACGGTGGCCTTTCGGGATCTTGCGGTCTGGCCTGGAGAAGAGCTCAGGCTGGGCCCCCACGTCGCACGGGCAGCATGTACGATGGTGCCACATTGGGTCTCCACTCCCCAAGGGAGTCCCAGGCTTGGTGGTCTATTCTGCTGGGGGATCCCCCAGAGACCAGGCCTTCATTTTGCAGGTGGAGTAACTGAGGCCCCGGGCCACAGGGGAGAGCATATGACTAGCCCCAGTCCAGGGCACTTTCCCCTGTTCTTGCTGTGGCTTAAACCTTTACTGAGCACTTGCTGTGTGCTGCTGGAGATGCTGAAAGGCCAGGCTCCCTGTCCTGTGGCTTAACTGCCCCTCTGGCCTTAGAGAAGGGGCTCTCATTTGCCCTCAAGTGTGGACAGCCCCTCCTGAACCACCCCAGGCTTTAGAGACCCATGAGGGGTGGCCAGAGGGAAAGAGCTGTTCTCAGGCTGGGCTAGATCCTCCTGGGCTCCCTCACAGCACAGCTGCTTAGACTACCAGGTCCAGATCCATTGGTGCATCATGATGTCAATTTACTGAGTTACAACCAACATATGGGGGGCGGGGGAGGAGAGAGAGAGAGAAACATCAGGGTGCATTTAAGAAAGTGAGGGTGGTCATGGTTTTGTGAAACTTGTTGGATGTATGAGTGTGTACAGTGACATTATGTGGAATATATTTCTGTGGGTCATGGTCAAAGCAACATGAATAATACTTCTCACAAGTTGCAAACCCCCGTATCTGCAATCCACTTCCACGCGGCTGGGGCCAGCCCATCACCCCACAAGGTCAGGTCCAACATCCACTATACCCACAGGAGAAGGGGCCTTTGCTTTTACATTTGCATTATTTAAAGTCCAAGGAAGAGATGTTCCTAAAACCAAATGAGATAATTCCCTGTGAGAGAAAATTGCCAGCTGCTTTTGAGTGGTTTCTCCAGTTTCTACCTAACCCCATCTCAATAGTCTCAGAGCCCGAGGCACTGTCTGAGGGACCTTCCCCACCATTACCACGGCGAGCACTCATCAGTACTTACCACTTGCCAAGCACCGACTCATTCCATCGTCACAGCCCTACGTCACTGGTACAATTATCACCCTGATTTTCCCCTAAGAGGTTAGATGTGTCTGTGATCACACCACTAGTAAGCATCTGGATCCCCAGCTAAGCAGTTCTCTGTGCTCACTATGAACACGCTGCCTTAGTATCTTCTTTTAAAATGTTTTTATTGGTTTTAGAGAGAGTGGGAGAGAAACATCAATGTGAGAGATAAATATCTGCTGCACCCTGCGGGCCAAGGATCAAGCTCATAACCCAGGCATGTGCCTGACCAGGAATCAAACCGGTAACTTTTTGATTCATGGGATGATGCTCAAGCAACTGAGCCACTCCAGCTGGGCACAGTGCCTTAGTTTCCACGTCACCTGGCTGACTCACTCTATGAACCCAGCCAGAGATGTAGCTGTCCCGTCTATTTCACTGGGTGGAAGGAGGCTGAGGTCATCTGAGAAGCTGGACTAGTAGGTTACAAGCCATCAGTCGGACATCCCCCAAGAGCTCCCATACTGCGAGAGGGTACAGGCCGGGCTGAGGGACTCCACCCCCCAGTGCATGAATTTCATGCACCAGGCCTCTAGTTATGAAATAAACTTAGAAAGGGTGTTCCTCTCTTATCTGACTTGCTCCTAAGATTTGCCAACATTCTAAGTCTGTTGTTCTGTGTGGTTTGGATACACTTCGAGGGCCAACTAGGTGTGCTGTGGGTCCTGGGACAGTCCTAGTAAGAACCATGGTGGATCCTCCAGGGTCTCTACCCCTCCGCCCCCTCTGAGAAACGTGCTGCAGGTCTACTTGGGGGAAACAGACCCTGCTGCCTCTGACTCCAACCTTCCCCCCATACCATTCTGTTCCTTCTATGAATTTTATAGATTTCAAAGGAGGAAATATAGTGCAATGGGGTGAGCCTTTGGAGGCAGGAGAATCATAAGATCACTCCTTCAATCCCCACTAGGGCAGTGGTTCTCAACCTCCCTAACGCCACAACCCTTTAATACAGTTCCTCATGTTGTGGTGACCCCCAACCATAAAATTATTTTCGTTGCTACTTCATAACTGTAATGTTGCTACTGTTATGAATCGTAATGTAAATATCTGATATGCAGGATGGTCTTAGGCGACCCCTGTGAAAGGGTCGTTCGACCCCCAAAAGGGTCACAACCCACAGGTTGAGAACCACTGCTCTAGGGGATGAGAATAAGTTTCCAAGAGGGAACATGTTGGTTGTAGGATAGTGGCCAATGGCATCATTGTGTTTCCATTAGCAGCTTGGAGGTGGCACTTGGTCACCCTGCATCCTCCAAAGACACACGAGTTCCTCCTTCAGCCCGTGAGGACTTCCCCTGGTACTAAAGCCTTCCCCTTAGCCTGAGAGCTAAAACTCAAAAAAGGTTCTCCAATAACTAAAGGAAGCAAAATGAAGAACACAGAAACCCCATAAATCCCATCAAATACTGTGGTTCTTGGGATAGAGGTTCAGATGTTACTGACACAGTGACTGTGCCTCTATTTCCACCTTAAAGGAGGAGGGTTCATGCAAGGCCTGGAGGGAGGAACTGAGTCTGTTCCCGGCCACACAAGGAGGTCATCACAGGCCTTCGAGGACCAGGCACAGAGCCGCACTTCTTCGCAGTCCTAAGTATCCTGGGTGGCCCAGAGGGACAAGAGGGGGAAAGGCGAGGTGTGGAAAGGGTTTCACAAATTATCCTTTAATTTTTCTTCTGCTCTGGCAGTCCTGCTACAATAAACACATTCCATTAATAGACATTACTGGTCCACTTAAGAAGTAGCAGATGCATTATTAATGTCGTTTCGATACAGTCAACAGGAAAAAGAAAGGCTCCTCTCTGTGGACGCATTTCCAAGCCCATCAAAGCAACCGTGACCCATTTTAATTGACGGGGTTGTTACTCATTCCTTAGTTCTCACTCCACCAGGGGAAAAACTACTGAGGTTGCAAACACTTGAAGAGTAAAGATTGCTTCTCCACTGGCCTCTGAAAAGGATAAAGATTCAAACTCAGGCCAACCACACCCACAGAGTAGCAACCATGGACACCTCAGCACAAGCTCACCTTGTTCTTCCTCCTGCTTCTTGTAGTAGTTTCTTACGCAGACCTCGTGAAATTCCTCCCACCCATCCCCTTCTCTCCACTCTCAAGTTCACAGGACTGTGGTGGTAATGAAACAAGAATGAGCAGGAAATCTTCACATAAACACTGCAAGTGGTGTGGCCATAATTCCTGTACACAGTTCTGTAGATGCTCATTTTCCATTGCGATTTCTGTCCCCACCTGCCCTTCAGCCACATGCCCCGGGACACACACGTGGCTCAGAGCCTGGCTCACCAGCTTTATCACATCCTTCCCTTCCCAGCCTCCGTGCCTTTGCACAGGCTGGTCTCCCCTCAGTCCTTCATGGCTTCGAGGCTCAGCTTACAAGGGTCTATCTCCATGAAAGCCTCCTGGGTCTCTTTTTCTAAATCTCCAAAGGACAGGATCTGTGTGATTTACAGTTACAGTTGGGTATGTATTTGATCTGTTGTTCAGGGCCATAAGGGCAGGAAAGGGCTTTACCACTCTGCCACAGGACCCTGAAGCAGGCAGTCGGGGAAGCCTGTAGAATAACAGGAGGGAGGGAGGGAAAGAGGACGGAGATGGGAAGGGGAAGGAGAAGAGGAAGGGAGGGAGGATGGATTGATTTCCGATCACCCTACCTCTGCCACTAGCCTGAATATTTAAAGTGTCTGGGGTAAGGTGACTGAGCCTTTATTTTTGCGAGTATCCTATATAATAAAAGGCTAATATGCAAATTGACCCAACGGCGGAATGGCTGGTCAGTGTGCTTCCGCAGGGGGAGCGCCACTCAGCCAGATGCTGTGTTCAAAGCTGGCAAGCGCAGCAGTGGTGGTGGGAGCCTCTCCCGCCTTTGTGGCGGCACTAAGGACCCCTCAGGGGATGTCCACCTGCCAGCTTAGGCCCACTCCCCACGGCAGGCCGACATCCCCAAGGGGTCCCGGATTGCGAGAGGTTGCAGGCCTGGCTGAGAGACCCCCCCTTCCAGTGCACAGATTTTGTGCACCGGGTCTCTAGTCCTATATAATAAAAGCTAATATGCAAAAGTGCTGGTTGTCCAGTCAGCTGCTCAACCAATCAAAGCGTAATATGCTAATGATATGCTAAGGCCACTCAACCACTCGCTATGACATTCACTGACCACCAGGGGGGCAGGGCAGCATGGGGGGTGGGGCCAGCCGCTCACCAGCCAGTGCTGTCCCGATAGACCCACCGGTCACCTCCCGCAGAGGGAGGCCAGACTGTGGCTTAGACCTGCTCCCCTGCTACACCGTCAGTCGGACATTCCCCGGGGGCTCCTGGACTGTGAGAGGGCGCAGGTCAGGCTGAGGGACCCCCCCCCGCCAGTGCAAGAAAATTCGTGCACTGGGCCTCTAGTATTCATATAAGATTTCAAGAGATAATTCTACCAGAGAATGAAATTAAATTTGTCACCTGAAGCAGCTTCTTAGTCACCAAGACTTCAAGCATAATCTCATAGCTAGCATCTCACAGGGTGTGGCTCGTGCATCAGTCACCTCATGTGCCTGCCAAAATAGTAGGTGCCCGGGCCCAGGCCAGGCTTGAGCATCAGCGTCTTTAGTGTGTGAGGCCAGGGAACCTGAAGAGCTCAGCTCCGCTCTGACTCTTCTGCCCAGTGAAGCCCGAGAACCACCACACTCCACCGTCAGCTCCGCCTTGCCCAGTGTGTAATACGGCTTCTGTGGAAAAGCTATTAGACCTGGAGATCCAAAAATTTCCTACTGGAAGATGGCTCTGCCTTATACCCAGCCCTGTGGCCTTGGCAAGTGGTTTCCTCTCTATAAAACAGAGGGAACACTGCCTGGAGTGACCAAGATCTGCTGCAAAAGCACAAAGTCCGGGCAGGACACGAGCTTTTATTAAATGGACCTGAGTATGTAGAGAAGGAAGTCTGTGAAGTTGGATGGAAAAAATGTTCCTTCTTTGGTTTACTACCCTTTAACTGAAACTTAACATTTCCTCAGTTAAAATTGTAGGCAACAACCCATCATAGGATTAGCAGTACCTATATTTAACATCAATAGAAATTACAGGTATTTTCCTATCACCTTACTGGTAAATACCTCAAAACACACTTTAAGGTCATCATGACTTTGAAAGCAGCATAGTTATTAGACCTGCTGCTTAGTGCAGTAATAAAGAAGCACATGTATCTCCATATCATAATTTTTTAATATTCTGATCATTGTGTTCAATATAATTGTTTCTTTGTAAACTAACATGTATTTAAAAACAAGCTGATGGATGACTAGATGGGAAAATACACGATAAAGCAAGCATAGTAAAATGTTAATGGAAGAAACCAGGTGGTGGGTAGACAGGTCTTCACTGTAAAATTCGACTCTTCTGTATATTTGGACGTTTTCATAGCACAATGTTGGAAAATCATGAGAAGGGCTCCCTAGGCTTCACCAGACCACCAAAGCGGCCTATGGCACACACACGAATTAGAAACCCCTCACTTAGAGGTACGAGTGGCCCTAACAAGCTAACCAGTCCACCGGGAGTCCTTCATCCAGGATGCAAAGGGCCCCAAGCCACAGTGTGGAATTCCACGAATTAGGCTGGTAGCCTTTTCCTAGGCTAGGAAAGCAAGCAGAACCCACATGGGCATGTTTTCTCCCTCCAACATTCCAACGTTAGTTGCAGACCTCAGGGCTCTAGAGGAAAGATACCCCAGGGTAGGACGCTGCCCAGGCCCTGGACAGAAACCACACCCACTGCTTCCTCATGCCCACCAGCACATCTGCCAGAATCCCCCATCCTGGAGGGCACATCGCTCTCTGATTCTACTTAGGCCAAATCCCTTACTTGCCCAGAGGCTCTGAAGTTCAAAAGGAAAAGTGCACTTCTACGCCAGATGACCCAGTTCAGAAAGAGCTGAGAAAAAGCCAAAGCCACATTTTAACTGGACAAGTAAGAAAAAATAAAGCCCCAAGCAAAAAAATTGTCATCTTATTTCATAGGAAGGTACACGGTCTTGCTGTCAATCAAAGCTATGATCACATACCCATTAAAAAACAACCGAAGTGAAACGGAGGTCCCAGGACATGTTCTTGTGGCTGATACCTATCTTCTGTGGTTTGGTCCTTCTGGAAAGCTATTTGGCACAGCATAGCGATTAAAAAAATATCTTTCAGTCCACTTTTAGAAAAAGCTGAAAGGGCTTCTTTACAAATGGTAAAGAGCTATACAATTTTATTAATTCCCATAGACATGTTAACCCAAGGTACTACCTCTCCCTATCCCACTCTCACCCAGCATTTTTTTTTCTTAAACCATTCCTTGAAAATGGTCACAAATGGTAGAATATATGATCACAAAAAAAAAAGTGTGTGTATGTATGTAGTGTGTGAGTGTGTGTGTGTGTGTGTGTGTGTGTGTGTGTGTGTGTGTACTAGAGGCCTGGCGCACA